AACCGTATGAACCTGCGCGATGAAAAAGGTCTTTTCAGTCAGTCCCATTGTTTCTGTCTATATATAATTATTATAGCCCATGTGAGAAATCGGCTTTAGGGCGGTGTCGTGTCGGCCAGCCATACAGTACTGAGACAGACGGCCTGTAAAGTGTAGAGTATTGAGCCCCTCCCTGACACGAACAAAGTGCGTGTTCTTGACCTCTAGAGGCTGGTTGTTGTTGTTGCTGTTGTTGTTGTTGTTGTTGTTGTTGTTGTTGTTGTTGTTGTTGTTGATGTTGGTTGTGTTTCTGGGTTGGTTTTTGTTTTGTTTGTTTCTCTTTGTTCTGTGTAGTTTTCTTTGTCTTGACAGTATTATTTCAGTGGTGGTCATGTATTTGAGATTATAGGGAGGGAAGGTGGGAAGTGGGAGGGGATTGCGATGAGTGGATTGCGAAAGGAGGAAGAGGAGCAGGAGGTGAAGGAGAGAGACAAAGAGAAGAAGAAGGAGAAGAAGAAGAAAAGAAGAAGAAAAGAAGAAGAAGAAGGAGAACGGAGAAGAAGAAGGAAGAAAGAAAGAAAAAAAAAAGAGAGAGAGAAGCAGGAGGAAGAGGCGGACTGGGCAGCCCCCTAGCACGTAGACTCGCGCGGCCCTTAGGACTTGGTCAAACACAAGAGGTTTCTGATACCTGCCAGCTTGCCTGCCGACTCCCCAAGTGTAGACTTAGCTTTACATGTTATATGTCAACCTCTTTATTTGTATGTGTGGTCTGAACTGCAAAGGGGTGAAAATAAACCTGAGACTTCTATAAATAATCTATTGAGCTGCCAATCTACTTAACGATTTGCCTTAAAAATCCTTTGCCTGTCAGCTTTAGATGAATTTGAAACTGTCCAGGATCTGAAGGGATAGGGACCCGCTTAAACAGTTAGAAATAGCCAAAGTGAAACAAAGTAAGCACACACAGAGGACGAAAGAGGATTTGCTTTTGGTGTGGTCTGTCCATGCTTTGGTGAAATCTTCTCCTAACTAGTGCTATTTTTGTGTGAGCTTCTTGACTTGCCCCCTCCCCCTCTCCCCTCTCCCCTCTCCCCTCTTCCCCCTACAACCCTTAATGAATTTTGTCCATATTTCATTGATTTATG